GTTTCTCGGTCTTCCTTGTATGACCGCATCAGGGAGTATCAGCATGATGATCCACATTTGCTTGTCCTTAAGGACGGGGTTCAGCATGATGATGCCAGGGATGTGACTATTGGAGATGATGGTGTGTTGAGGATGCAGGGCCGGATTTGTGTGCCCAATGTGGATGGGCTTCGGGAGTTGATATTGGAGGAGGCCCATAGCTCGCGATATTCCATTCATCCGGGTGCCGCGAAGATGTACCAGGATCTCAGACAGCACTATTGGTGGCGGAGGATGAAGAGAGATATTGTGGAGTATATAGCCCGGTGTCTTAATTGTCAGCAAGTGAAATATGAGCATCAGAGACCAGGTGGCTTACATCAGCAGATGGTTATTCCTGAGTGGAAGTGGGAGAAGATCACTATGGATTTTGTTACCGGACTTCCACGACCTCTGAAGAAATTTGATGCTATTTGGGTGATTGTAGACAGGCTGACCAAGTCCGCGCACTTCATTCCGGTTTGTACTACTTATTCTTCAGAGCGGCTGGCGGAGATCTATATTCGGGAGATAGTTCAATTGCATGGTGTCCCAGTTTCCATCATATCAGATCGGGGCACTCAGTTCACCTCTCAGTTTTGGCAGGCGGTTCAGCGAGAGTTGGGTACTCAGGTGCAGTTGAGCATAGCTTTTCACCCTCAGACGGACGGGCAGTCCGAACGCACCATTCAGATATTGGAGGATATGTTACGTGACTGTGTTATTGATTTTGGAGGGTCATGGGATCGGTTTCTACCGCTTGCAGAGTTTGCCTACAATAATAGCTATCAATCCAGCATTCAGATGGCACCGTATGAGGCCTTGTATGGGAGGCGGTGTAGATCTCCAGTTGGTTGGTTCGAGCCCGGGGAGGCTAGGTTGTTGGGGACAGATTTGGTACAGGATGCATTAGAGAAGGTGAAGGTGATTCAGGAGAGACTCCGTACAGCACAGTCGAGACAGAAGAGCTATGCAGACAGGAAGGTTCGAGATGTATCTTTTATGATTGGTGAGAAGGTCTTGCTGAAGGTTTCACCCACAAAGGGTGTTATGAGATTTGGGAAGAAAGGAAAGCTGAGTCCGCGGTTCATTGGGCCTTTTGAGGTACTTAGGAGGATCGGGGAGGTGGCTTATGAGCTTGCCTTGCCACCTAGCTTGTCGGGCGTGCATCCAGTTTTTCATGTGTCTATGCTCCGGAAGTACATTAGGGACCCGTCCCATGTTTTAGATTTCAGTACAGTTCAGCTGGAGGGTGACTTGACTTACGAGGTAGAGCCAGCAGCCATTTTGGATCGTCAGGTTCGGAAGTTGAGATCAAAGGATGTTGCATCAGTGAAAGTGCAGTGGAGAGGTCGGCCCGTGGAGGAGGCTACCTGGGAGACCGAACAGGAGATGCGGAGCAGATATCCTCACCTATTTGAGACTTCAGGTATGTTTCTTGGCCCGCTCGAGGACGAGCGTTTATTTAAGTTGGGGAGGATGTGACGACCCGACCCGTCGTCTCATGTGTTACCGCCCCGTTTTCCCCATTTATTGCTTTTTCATGTTTCATTATCGGCATTTGGTAAGTTAGAGTCGAATCGGTTTAGTTTTGGTAGAAAATAAGACATTTAGTCTCTTTAAGGAAGGCTTGTAATGGAAAAGTCAACCGGATGTTGACTATTGAGTTAGAGGGCTCGGATGTGAATTCCGGTGATTCGGTTAGCTTCGGGGGATGATTTTTGACTTAGGAGTGCGATCGGAATCGGTTTTGGAGGTCCGGTGTAGAACTAAGCTTGAATTGGCGAAGTTAGTATTTTGGCGAATTCCGGTTGATAGGTGAGATCCGAGGGTCGGAATGGAATTTCGAGAGTTGCAGTAGCTTCGTTAGGTGATTTGGGATGTGTGTGCAAAATTTCAGGTCATTCGGAGGTGACTTGGTTGGGTTTTTGATCGAATGCGTATCTCGGAAGTTTTTGAAAAACTTAGGCTTGAATTCGATGAGAAATGATGGTTTTAGTGTTGTTTGAGGTGTTTTTATGATTGGAACAAGTTTGAATGATGTTATAGGATGTGTTGGTGCTTTTGGTTGAGGTCCCGGGGGCCTCGGGGTGATTTCGGATGCCTAACGGGAAGTTTTGAACTTAAAGAGATTGCAGAATTTTGCTGCTTCTGGTATTTTCGCTTCTGCGGAAATGGGACCGCAGAAGCGGTACCGCAGAAGCGATTCAAGAACCGCAGAAGCGACAGTAGTCGCAGGTGTGAAGATGCCAACCGCATCTGCGGAGTCGCAGATGCGGAATTTTGGATTTTAAGGAGATTTCCGCAGGAACGAAAAAAGACCGCAGATGCGGTAGACGCAGAAGCGGAAAATGACCGCAGGTGCGGAAACAACTGATCAGAAGTGGGTTTTTAATCCCTTCGCGAAATTTTACAGAACACATATTTTAACTTCGGACTTGGGGTGTTCTTGAGCGATTTTGAAGAGGAAATTCAAGGACTTCGATCAGGTAAGCATTCTTGGACTTAGAACACAATTTTATCATGCAAATACATGAAATTACACCGAAAACTCAAGGAATTAAGGTCAAAAATGGTGGTTTAGGGCTTGAAACCTAAGAGAACAAAAATGGGAATTTGAGGGGTCATTTGGACTCCGATTTTGGTGTTCTTTATATGCATGGACTCGTGGCGAGATAAGGAATCGGTGATGTGAAATTTATAATTTTTCGAGAAGTGGGCCCGGGGCTCGGGTTTTGCCAACTTCGTGATTTTCGATGTTTTTCGAGTCTTTTCGATTGGGTTATATTCCCTTAGCATATTGTGACGTATTCGTTGTGGTTTTGGTCAGATTCGACGCACGAAGAGGTGAATTCGAAAGGCAAGGGCATAGCAAGCTAGGACCTTGGCCGGCTTGAGGTTAGTAATAAATGTAAATGCTGTGTTGAGGGTTTGAAACCCCGAATTTGCATAACGTAGTACTATGTGAGGTGACTTGCACGCCGGATAACGGGCGTGGGGTAGAGCACCATCGGGGATTGTCCCGCTCAATAAAAATTACTACCTAATTGATTGTAGTTTCGTGATATCCTTATAAAAATGGATTAATTATCATAACTGGGCTTCGTGCCAACTACTTGAATCCTTCAGGGATTATTTTACTGGTTTCTTACCATATTTCTGGATATTGAACTCAGTCCTGGTATTTAACATTGTTTTGTAAACTCAGTCATTTTCTAAAAGTAGAAACTAAAGTAATATTTTTAAATGAAGTTTGGGCTGAATATTTTTATTTTATTGTGCCGAAAGGCTTATGTGATTTTGGACTGAGTATGGGATCGGACTGCACGCCGCAGTGGTATAATAATGATATTGATATGAGGCCAAGGGCCTGTTTGATGTCACGAGATGGCTTATTATTGCGCTTGGGCCGTAAGGGGCCCCTCCCGGAGTCTGCATACCCCCAGTGAGCGCCGTCGACGTTAAATAAATAGAGCGGGCTGCACGGTCGCAGCGGGGTACTGGAGGTACCGGTTTATGTGTTGCATTGCATATTTAATTGTTATTTATTCTCATTCTGGTGTGACTTTATTATAACTGTTTTTAATGTTTACTGTATTATGCTATTGGTCCGCGTTGTTGTATTTATAGCTTATCCTCAGACTTTATTTATATTTATTACTCTCTGGGTTGGAAGTACTCACAATACTCCCTGCACCTTGTGTGCAGATTCAGGTACACCACAGGGTGAGTGAGGACTTGTTTAGCGGAGCAGCAATTATCCGAGAGTATCGAGGTAGCTGCATGGCGTTCGCAGCCTTGATCTCTCCCATCCATTTTATCCTTTTATTTGTATTATTTTCTTAGTCGGACTTGTAATAGGTGAATAATCTGTTTCTAGAGGCTCATGTTCGTGACATCAGATTCTGTGGGCTATTTAGTATTTTATTTTGGGGTTTTCGAATGTTAGAGATTATATCAGAATTTCCGCACTAAATTGGTATTATAGTAGTGAACATTTATCTATTTATTTAGATTATTTGGCTAAGGTTGCGTAAATGGTCGGGCTTGCCTAGCAATGTGTTGGGCGCCATCACGACCGGGGTTTGGGTCGTGACAAGGTGGTATCAGAGCCTAGGTTTCTTGGTCTCGCGAGGGCAGGGCAGGATATAAGCTATGGATTCGGTCGAACCTAGTGACTTTGGCCCGAACCTTGTATATATATTAAAATATCTCTTATTAAATATATATATATATATATATATATATATATATATATATATATATATTATCCACCCAGTTAAGTTTTGTCATCGCACATAGGTTACTCAAATCAAAAGGAGCAGCCTCTTCTCCTCCCAAGCAGAGCAAGAAATTAAATTGAAAGACAAATGGTAAACGTTTAGTAAAAACTCTGACTGACTCAAGAATTTCCTCAGTAAGAGCAAACACAGCTGGACAATTAAACTTCCTGTGTAGCAAAGGCCTAGCATCCCATGATGGCGGAGAGAAACACAAGATAAGAAAATCCAAACGATAAATTCACCAAAGGGTAAAGCTAACAACAAGAAGAGCAAGGAGAGAAAGGGTTGCAGTCGCAGAGGAGTTTGAAGATTGCGAACTTTTCATATGTTCCTAGATTGGCAAAAAAGAATTAAAATAGGATGTGTCTCTATGCTGACCTCTTAACCATATTCTTCTAGGAAAAAACAATTTACTTCCAAGGCTGTAGAATTGAATTTTTAATAGCAAAAATCCAGTATATCATAAAACAAAAAATTAAACAGAAAAACGGAGGAAAAGGCAAGGTGAATCGAATACCACACGGAATAATCTAAAAATGTGTCGCCACCCAACTGATTCATTCAAGAATTTGCTCAAACACATAAAAAACAAAGTCTTAGCGTGCAGTAAAAGATGAAACAGAGAAATACAAGATAAGAAGAAGATAGCTTACAGGAAAACAAAACAACTATAATTCAGTGGGTGAAAGAGAAACGTACCAGTAATTCGGCCGGAGGGTCAGAGATCGAACAAAGAAACAAAGGTATTCGATGATATTTACTACCAGCGGAAAAAACAGAGTACAGGCGAAGAGAAAAGCAGAGTAAACAATTAGATAGAAATTGAAGCGGTCACTTGTCCTCAACCTCGAGTTGTAGGCAGATTTCACGTGCAGGGCCTTGTAGAGTCAGCACGTATTAAAATTGTGCTACATGAAATGACCAAAAAGGGCCTTGGTCGGCAAGCTGGCAAGACAACGCCCAGCTGGCTCTTCTATATATTATTATTATAAAGAAAGAATGCATCATTTTATCTTTCTTTTTCCCTCTCTAATAATTATTTAGTACTATTACTACATTTTATACTTATATATAATATATTATGCGTAATTATTTTATGACGTTGGTTGTTTTTTCCAAATTCCTAACCGTTTATTCTCTTTAATTCGTTTATTTTTTATTTGGTTTCTTTTCGTATTCCAATTAAATCGGATAATTAACGAGAAGATAGTTCAATATTTCTCATGATTTCTTCTTTTATATTTTTTTGTTAACTTTAAATATTTGGCAGTCTTCTTAAGTGGCAATTTCACTTTCAATAACATTTATTTATTTAATAGAGAAACTATACATGCAGTAAAAAGGTCGGAAAAGGAAATTAACTTATGGAAATCTGGCGAATTATCTTGTAAGATGGCCTTCAACATGGTCATTATTATAGTTCTTTTTCTTTATTGTACTCTGCTAATTTTATATATTTATAGCGGCATCAAACTATAATTTTTTTAATTGCCTAAATGAACAATATATTATGCAACATTTATTATCGTGAAGAAAAGGAGGGAAATGCACAAACCTTCATATCTTTTTATTTTTACAAATAAATTTATTGCGGCCAATTATTGCAACTCTATAATCTTTTGTATGCAGTTATAAGACTACATGATACTTTTTACATTAATACTATTTTTTGAGCATTTTAGAAGGCTATAATTATGAAATATTAATAGTTTCGTTTCCACTTCAATTTTTTATTCCAAATAACACATCCAATAAACTGATAAACTGTTGTGGGCATGCAATAACATTTGAATGTATATAATTATTATCGCTTAACTTTTATTCTCACTCTCTAAGATATCACAAACTATGTTACTATCTAAGAAAAATTTCTTAATTTCTTTTATTAAAGTCTCTTTCCAGCAAAACCATCTGGAAAAAAAAAAAAGAAGGAAAAATCTTAAAGTTTGTAGCTCCAACCCCACTAATGATAAATTTGAATATACTATCTTCATTTTTATTTTTAAGAGCCTCTAATATTTCCAAAGAAGAATTAGTTTAGGTATATTGCAACATTGTAAGTCTATATTTAAAAAATTTGAGTAGGAAACTCTAATAAAAAAAAAAAGAAGAAGAACAATCTTTAACAGCCGCGTGAAGCGGCGGATTATTTTACTAGTAAGGTATATAATAATGGGATCTTTACATAACTAGCTAGTTGAATTTATTGTTTATTTTTCCTAGCAAGTATACATAAATTATATAATGATTATACATAAAAATAATATATTATACATAAATCTTATATGAAACATAAAACACACACACACACGACCTATATATATATATATATATATATATATATATATTGATTTCACCCTCTATTTTAAATTTAAGCGTTTGAGTAGACGATTATTTGAGTTAATTCTTCTATAACAGTTTATCTTTGGTCGAGATGTCCCTTAAGTCCTAACAAATAACTGAGTAAATTGGAAAACGATTTAGGAAACAACAAGGTGTTTGTAGTCCAACGGTTAGGATAATTGCCTTCCAAGCAATAGACCCGGGTTCGACTCCCGGCAGACGCAATTTATTTTATGTAACTTTTTATATTTTGATCATCTTCTATATATACTTAAAAGAAAAGAAGTCAGTCATAAGATTTTGCCAAGTGTCAGCATGCATAAATTGCCATGTAGCAATTTTAGGCCAAAGTAGTTACAGTTTAGGTAATTAGTTACTACAATTTAGGTAAAACTAATTTTTTCTTTTTAAAAAGCCGATTCCATTTTATATTGTGAAGAAGTTACCACCACATATAACTCTATTCTTTTTCAATTTTTAAATACTACCATATTTTAAACTAAAAAGGAACCCACACGCACTCACATCCCAATTCCCACAATCTGCACGATCTCAGTAATTGTAGGAAAACAAAGCGTCATATAACTGATGGGATCCGTATAACTGCTCTCCAAGATCCTCTTCAACTCTAACCATTTTCTTCTCCGATCAATCCTCTACTACGCCGAGATTCTGCCTCCTTTACGGGTACCTTTCAGCCACAAAGAGACACGGGAACTCCATATAACATTTTTTCTCTTTCTTCTGGTATGGCCAAAATTAGAATTGCATAACAAATCAGTATTTGAATTGTAATTATCTTCTTTCTATCATTTGAATTGTAATTATCTTCTTTCTATCAATAAGGAATAGATTTTTTGAGAGATTAGAGAAAATATTTTTAAAGTTGAAATCTCATCAATTCTCAAAAGTTCTGTGCCCATTTGCCTCTGTTTCCATATATTGTTCGCTGCTACTATTGCTGTTGATGATACATAATATGTTTTGTCTAGATTTCTTTCAGTTTTCCTCTGCGTAATATGCGTTTAAATGCAAAATTTCAACTTCAAGACTCATATTGTTTTTTGGAATAATCTGGTAACTTCAAATTAATGTAAAATTTTAAAGGTTGCTATGTCGTATAGTCATATTTATAGTAATTTGCATGTTATGAAATCCTCATGTGCAGAAAAATGGGGTGCTGCATTAGCAAGCAGGTGAAAAAAAAAGTGCTTATATTAATGAGGAATAATCTATGGAATCTACTGATCATGAGAGCTATTGCTCAAGTTTTTGATCATAAATACTTGTGCCTAAATTAAGTTTTTGCATTTGATTCAGAGGAAAAATTTACCAATCAAAGGGTTTAATTGTTGAGTCTGAAAGAGCCTATTTTTCCCTGCAGCGTAAGGCCAGAATTTTCGAAAAATGAAAATATCCTTTTTTTACATATATAAATTAATTAGAGAGGAAATAATTGTAGATAACGGAACGGTCTCTAGCATCTTCAATTTTAGCAACTTACTTAAAAAAAATTCTTCAATTCTATCACCTTATGCCTTTGGGATAGTAAGTACATCCATAAGCTCAAAACCTTAGAAAGGTTTCTCCATATAAACGTGCATGAGAAACAGAAATGCTTTAAGATAACTAGAAGATCGTCACATAATTAGTAAGCATCTTGAGAATTGATTTAGTGAAGATTTCTGTGTGTTCTTATGATTATGGACAAACAAGTGGTGCATCGCAAGTGTTGCAGTTCTCGAATGCGACAGACCTGATAGTCCTTTTTTAATTGAGGTTATTTTGATGGATGAAAAGATTAGGTATTTAAACTTTAGAGTTATTCTATTTTGAACTATTTACATATTTGTTAATATACTACAGTCATATAATAGAGTGTTTTGGGAAAGAAAAGCATTTTCTGCCATAATTATGGACAAAAAATAATTGACACCCTTGCTACTAATTCATGACTATATAGTTCCCTTCTCCTTGTGACTGCAGAAGAGATTGATTGGGAGGAAAAGCCAAGGTTAAATTTTTCTTTAAAAGACGCAATACCTTAAAATATCTCATCTACTACCCAAAACTTTTCATATTGTTAATTAGGCATAAGTCTGCAAAAGCTGCATACTCAGAGGAAACATGCCTCCACTCAGCTCATGTCAACAATCGTTTTCATAAAGATACAATTTTGCAAGCATATCACCCGTTGCCCTGAAATAGAAAGGACAAATAAAACCTTCAACTACCATCAAAAGTTTTACATGATCTTTCGATCTAGGATATTTTCTACTACTATACTACAAATAATACATTTTCTACGTACCATACTATAATGACGGAAATGACTCGATGCTGTTAAAGTTTAATTTTCAATAAAAATACTCTGTGGTATTTTTTGTATTAGTTGCACTGTGTTCCTTTTTGCACGTTACATATTGACTATTTCTCAATATGTGGTATTAGCACTTGATGCTCATTCTGTTAAGAGATTGTCCATGGATAGAACTAGCATGGCGAATTCGAGTTGCAAGAAGAGGATAATGGAGTTGAGCTACTGTCTTAGTAATTCTCTCAAGAGTTGCTCGATGATTTTGTCCACAACGAAGTAAATTTATGCAATTTATTTTTTCATTAAACCATTGATTAAAAATGGAACAATAGCATGTTTTTGTTGATTATTGCTTGGTTTATTAAAAAAATGGTAATTCCCTATTTGAGCATACTTTCAGGGATGATTTTTCCAGGCTATTTTTTGTCCATCATATTGGCTATTGCAGAGGTTCTATTTGCTGCATTTCGGGCTATTTTGAAGGATGGGAAGCGATCAAGACTATGTGATTTGTGTTGGCTCTGCTTAAAATAAAACTTTGTGCCATTTGGGGCTGATTGAGGTAAACATTCTTCTATATTTAATTTACTTCGTACATAGTTGCTCTCTAGGAGTTCTGGTGCTACGTATGATTGTAATGAATTAATATGTTGCAAATTTATTGGCTAAGTAAGGATTTTTGCGTAGAAGATCATTCCTGACCCCCACCAAAAATAAATTATCAAATTTTTGTTGTAATTACCATAAAATAAACTTTAAACCCAAGCTAAGCAGTTTGATTCCATGACTCTCATACACATCCATGACAGTTCCATTCCTTTGGTTCTCCTCCTCTCTTCGGCATCCGTCAACTTTCCTTTTTTGTCTGTATCTGTATTTCTTGATGATTTATGAAGAAAAAAAAATTTTAACTTCTTTAGTAGTTTGTACAGTACTCAGAATATAATTGATCTTTTACTATTTTGAAATTGGAAAGACGCTATCTTTTGCCATTATTACCATGGATAAGATCATTTTCATCAACAACAACATTGTGTTTGCTTATTCTGTATGCACTTTGTTGGATTCAATTAGATAATACTTAACTATGATCACAGCATAAAGTATTATCACCATCTTGTGTTGTTAGAGAGTTATAAACTTTTATTTGATATTTATTCTGATTATTTATTGAGAATGTGAAATTCTTTATAATTGAAAATATTTTGAAAATTCCAAACTATAGGAAACCCCCCCTCCCCCCTTTGGGATAATAGCCTCCCAGTATAGAACTTTTTGGATGGAAAATAGGAATGAATGTGTTTCAAAATCTTACACCCACCATGTATAACTATGCTTTTTTCCTATCTAGATATGTTTGCATCTTAAATTAATCAATAATGAAGATGTGCGTATACCAAACATGGATCCTTCTAATATTATTTACAGATGATTAGAACCAATCAGCTAGGACTGTTATATCTTGGCATGACCAATGCACCAATAAGTCTGACACAAAAATTAACGAAAAAGAAGACGAGAACGTAAAAAACATGCTATGATGTATGTGATGGATTTAAAATAAACTTTAAACAGAATCTAAGCGGTTTGGAAATAAGTAACAACTATTCTACTTATGGTCTTACGTTGTTGTGATTATAAAGCAACAATCTTATTTTTAATAGTCTACATGTTGAAGCAAATGAGTTCCTGTTGTAGATACATATAATATTGTATAACCAATTGTCATCCGAAACTCTCATGTTCTGTAGCCTCAATGTTACAACAAAGTTATGTCAAAATTAGGCATGTAAGTATATCAACAGGCTCATTATGGGGATTGTCTAGAATTAGATTTCCAGCAACAGTACAAAACTGTCTTGATTGTGAAAATATTGTACATCTCTCACTGATATTTGCTTCTTTCGTTATCTACTTCAGGATATGAGGCGGCAGTCAAATGAAACTAGGGAGACAATAGTAATACTTACTGTGCCACAACTAGAGGCTATAGTGAGTTGAGGTGTTGCTATGCTTTTGGATTGAGACCCTTTATTGGGGAATGTAAGAATACTCTTTTCTTGATTATCTATGTTGATTTTCTTTTGAATTTGAGACAAATTTTAACCTTGATCTTTACATGAGTGCATAAGATGGAAGTTTCTTTTATTGTCTTTGCCTTGAAGTTTTCATGTTCAAGTAATCTAACACATCATTGTCTTTTGCTAATAAATAAAGAACTTTTTATTGCCTTATAGCTGGGTAAGATTATTTTTTTGCCTTTGTTGATACCTGGTTTTACAGCATGACATACCCTTATTAGTGTTTTTTTATTAGATACTCAATTTAGCAACACACGCTAGGGTGGCCAATATTAAAGAGGAAAGAGGAACAAATATTTTATCGATCAATTCATCTAATAGTTTGTAATATACATCTGTTTCTACGGGTAACAATAACTTACCAAAAGTATGCAATAGAGAACTATGTTCCTCAACTACAAAGGAATAAGTAGCTTCTAATTAAGGTGTTTTCGATTGGAACAACATGATGGCTGCTATATCAGTAATTGACACATAATCTTGATGAGAATTAATGTTCTTATTGTATGCATTTCATCTAATACTTAAAACTGTTATATTGATTCTGCTAACAAGGATTAGGTATTTCTAGGATTTTGGTTATCGATATGAGTCTTCATTTGTATCATCGACCAACATGATTGACTTGCTCATGTGCTCATATACTTCTGATCCAAAGTACAACACAACTGAAAGTGATGTCTTAATTACTGTGATTATACATATCTTTAACTGTTTTTTTTTTGTTGATCACAACTTGAGACAATTTTTTTTGTATTCTCGGGTGGATTATTCCTTTTGAAGCCAAGTACTGGTGTAGCATTACCCCGGTATGATGTAATATCTCTTGATAATTGGTGGTCCCTGTCAATAATTTTATAGAGAAAATTCGATTAAATTCATCTATTTGTTTTTTTGGTTTAATTCCTCTGAATGTGATTGCTAAATGTAGTCTGCAATTTATATCTGTTTCTAATATCTTTTTCCCCTCTTTTTTTCTTTGAAACGATCCGCGCATCGCGCGGGTAAGTATACTAGTTATACAGAAACAATAACAAATACTTTGGCATTGAAGATACTACTAGAACTATATAAAGATGAACCATTACGTTTAGCGAGACTTGTACAATGCTTACAGCTGTGTGGTTGATTAATGTTCAAAATAATATTATGGTGCTTGAAACAAACTCTCAGAAATCAGTGACTCGGGGAGGATTTGGAAAACAACATTCTCTCAAAGTTCCAATAAAGGCCTTCAAAAAACTGAAATTTCATACACATCAAGTAGTATTTTTGAAAGGGACCTTTAGAGCAACGGTCAAGTTATTTTCGTGGTGGCCTATAGGTAACGGGTTTATCGTTATTGTTGTGTGGCCTATAGGTCACGGGTTCGAGCCGTGGAAGCAATCATTAATGATTGTATTAGGGTAGATTGTACTACATCACACCCCTAGGGTGCGTCCCTTCCTCGGATCCTACGTAAATGAGGAATGCTTTGCGCATCGAACTGCTCCTTACCACATAGTATTTCTAAACAAAAAGCTTTTAACATACAACAACAACAACAACAACCCAGTAAAATCCCACAAGTGGGTCTGGGGAGGGTAGAGTGTACACAGACCTTACCCCTATCCCGGAGGGGTAGAGAGGCTGTCTCCAAAAGACCTCGGCTTCAAGAAGAAGAAAATAAACAATAGACAATAGACAATAGATCAGTGACAACAATAGAAGCTAGAAAAATAGTAACAACATCGTAAGAAATAGAAAAATAGAAGTAAAAGCAATAATAATAAGCAATAATGATGCCATAGGAAATAGTGAGGAAACTACATAAACCACTAACAACCCACAATGAACCATTATCAGGCCATCCCCTCCCCAGGAACAACAAAGAAAAACGCTCGACTCCCTCCTAACCTACAACCCTAATGCTCGACCTCCACACATTCCTATCCAGAGACATGTCCTCTGAGATCTGTAGTTGCGCCATGTCCTGCCTGATCACCTCACCCCAATACTTCTTAGGCCGCCCTCTACCTCTCCTCGTACTTGCCAATGCTAACCTCTCACACCTCCTAGCCTTGGCATCTACGCTTCTCCTCCGCACGTGCCTGAAAAATCTAAGTCTCGCTTCCCGCATCTTGTTGTCCATGGGAGCCATGCCCACCTTCTACCGAATATCTACATACCTAAATCTTATCCAGCCTAGTGTGCCCGCACATCCATTTCAATATTCTCATTTCTGCTACTTTCATCTTCTGGGGATGAGAATTCTTGGCTACCCAACACTCAGCCCCATACAACATGACCGGTTTAACCACCGCTCTATAGAACCTGCTTTTGAGTTTCGGTTGCACTTTCTTGTCACACAGGACTCCAGATGCTAACCTCCATTTCATCCATCCCACTCCTATATGATGCGTGACATCCTCTTCTATCTCCCTACCCCCCCCTGAATAATTGACCCAAGGTACTCGAAACATTCTCTCTTAGGGATGACTTGTGAACAAGCCTCATTTCCATGTCCGCATCCCCGATGCATCGCTGAACTTACACTCAAGATATTCTGTCTTAGTCCTACTCAACTTAAAACCTTTAGCTTCAAGGGTCTGTCTCCAAACCTCAAACCTCTTATTAACGCTGCCTCGCGTCTCATCAATCAGTACTATATCATCAGTGAACAACATACACCATGGCACCTCCCGTTGAATATGGTGTGTTAGTGCATACATCGCTAAGGCAAATAAGAATGGGCTGAGCGCATACCCTTGGTGCAATCCTATAACAACTGGAAAGTTCTCCGAGTCACCTCCCACAGTCCTAACCCGAGTCTTAGCTCCCTAATACATGTCCTTTATCACCCTGATGTAAGCTACCGATACACCTTTCACCTCCAGGCATCTCAACGAACCTCCCTAGGACCCTTGTCATACGCTTTCTCTAAGTCAATAAACACCATGTGAAAATCCTTTTTCCTATCCCTGTACTGTTCCACCAACCTCCTAATAAGGTGGATAGCTTCCGTAGTGGAACGACCCGACATGAACCTGAATTGGTTGTCGGATATAGACACTGCCCTCCTCACCCTCCCTCCGACCACCCTCTCCCAAACATTCATGGTATGACCTAGTAACTTGATGCCCCTATAGTTGTTACAATTCTGAATGTCACCTTTGCTCTTGTATAGCGGTATCATCGTACTCCACCTCCATTCATCTGGCATCCTCTTTGTCCTGAAGATAACATTAAATAGCGCAGTCAACCATTCCAAGTATGCTCTACCCACATACCTCCACTATTCCATTGGAATTTCGTCCGGCCCGGTCGCTCGGCCCCTACTCATCTTGCACATAGCTCCCACGACCTCCTCAGCCTTAATACGCATACAATACCTAAAGTCTTGGTGACTCCCGGAGTGACCCAATTCCCCTAGCACAATGTCTCTATCCCCTTCTTCATTTATAAGCCGATGGAAGTAATCCTGCCATCTCCGCTTAATCTGGGCATCTTCCGTCAATACTCTGCCTTCCTCGTCCTTGATGCACCTCACTTGATCCAAGTCACGAGCCTTCCTTTCTCTCGCCTTGGCCAGCCGAAATAACTTCTTCTCCCCTCCTTTGACCCCCAACTCCTCGTACAGAAGACCAAACGCTGCATCCTTAGCTCCGTGACCGCTAACTTCGCCTCCTTCCTAGCTTCCTTATACCTTCCTCTGTTCACTCTCCTCTCTTCCTCGTCTGTGCTCTTCACTAACCTAAGATACGCCACTTTCTTTACTTCCACTTTACCTTGGACCACATAATTCCACCACCAGTTGCCTTGGTGCCCGCCAGAGTAACCCTTCGAGACCCCTAGCACCTCTCTCGCCGCCTTTCTTATCCAGTCCGTTGTAGATGTCCATATCTCACTAGCATCCCCATTGCTCATCCAGGCTCCCATAGCCATCAACCTCCCCTCCAACTCCTGAGCTTTATCCCTCGTCAAGGCTCCCCACCCAATCCTCGGTTAATCCAGAACAAACCTCTTCTTCCTCCTTAATAATGTACTGACGTCTATCACCATGAGCCTGTGTTGTGTCGCGAGGGTCTCACTCGGGATAACCTTGTAATCCTCACCCAGCCGCCTATCACATCTCCTGAGGAGGAGGTAATCAATCTGAGTCTTAGCCACCGTACTCCAGAAAGTAACCAAATACTCCCCCCTCTTCAGAAAACTAGAGTTCGCGATCACCAACTCAAAAGCTCTAGAAATCCAATAGTGAGGTACCTCCTCCGTTCCTATCCTTAAAGCCGAAGCCGCCATGCACTTTGCCATAGCCACCAGCATACGACCCTATAGGCCTATTGAAATCCCCTCCTATGAATAACTAAACAAAACCCAAGAAAATAGAAACTAACTTCAAGTTAGAGGTATCAACCGCGCGTATAAGATGAGTAAAAAAGCAAATCCCACAAAAATTGAGTTATGTAAAATATTCGCACAAAAAATAAAATAAAATAAATATGGGTCATTTTCAATGGTGGACCCAGGACTTATACAAGCGGGTCCAGTCAAAGAGCATAGTAGCCACTTGTATAAGCGGCACCGATAAATTACTTTGTTTTGTTCATCATGTAACCTTGAAATAAAGTCATTGATTCTATTTTATAATCAAAGGTGGGCAAGGCATTGGAACTCTCTAGGAGTCGTTGTGACTTTGGGTATGGTAGGCGGATTAGACTTGATGAAGTTGAGGGGGCTATGCGTAAGATGAGCAGGGGCAAAGTGACTGGGCCGAATAAAATCCCGGTGGAGTTTTGAAAGAGTGCGGGCAAGGCAGGCTTGCAGTCGCTCACTAGGTTATTTAATGTCATTTTTAGAACGAAGAAGATGCCCAAAGAATGGAGGTGGAGCATGATGGTTCCTGTATACAAAAACAAGGGTGATATACAAAATTGCAATAATTATTGGGGTATCAAGCTGCTTAGCCATACTATGAAAGTGTGGGAGAGAGTGGTAGAGCTAAAGGTGAAGAGGAGTGTGTCTCTTTTCGAGAACCAGTTTGGGTTTATGCCGGGGCGTTCGACTACAGAAGCCATCCACCATGTT